CCAGTTAGAGGATTACACCACGTCGGAGGCGCACTAAGGGCTTTCCCACCCCTGACAGCCACAGGAAAGCCGGGGGTGGGAGGGGTGGGGGGAAGGCAACCTTCCGGGGAGCTGGGGGCAGCAGAGCGCATCGGGGCTGGGTTGCGGGCAAGAGGGAGTGTGTGCTATCGAGTCTGCCTCAATCTGCAAGCAATTGCGTTCGCTACGAGCTGCGTAACAGCCTTGCCCTCAAGGCCACCCTGGGAGCTTCGGGGGGAAAAAAAAATAAAAAATAAAAACCACTAGGACTTCGCACCTCGCCTGCAGAGAAGCTGCGCTCGCCGGCTTTGAACCTTGCCGGATCACAGGGGTTGTGCAAGTCCCAGGGGATTTTTGGTCCTCGCGGGACGAGTCCAGCAATCGCTGTTCTGCCACTCCCTTCCCTTCCCCGCCAGACTCTCAGGCAGTCAGCACGCCTGTGTTTTTTTGCTGAACACCATTTTTCCACCCTGGGAAGGCTGGGGAGGTTAAACTCCCCGTCTGAACCGAAGCCCTGGACGAGTGCAACTGAGGTTATAGAAATCCGGGAGGGGAAATGACGAAAATGCTTTATTGTGAATAAAACAAGAGGGAGGAGGGAGAGGCGGAACCTCACAAAGGTGAAGAGGGTGGGAAGTTTGCGGAGCTGAGGGTTTAGCCTGTCGCTGAGCACCGGGCGGGGGGTTACTCATTATTTTCTTCTGCCTCTCTGAGACAGCAGATGAACCTGTCCTCCCCCTTGTTGGCTTTTGTTTCAGGGGAAGGTTGGGTGGCGGGGGGAGAGGGGGGAAGAGCCCGCTCACCCACCCGCCCGCAGCCCCTGGCCCTATTCCCCGCCCGGGAATTACGTGCCAAACCTGGAACAGGGACTTATCTTCCCAGCCAAGCTCCCAGGTCAACTTCCTCGTAGGAAAGCTGATTTATGCCTGTTTATACGTATGGAAAAAGGAGGCAGAAGCCAAGCGCGGCATCCCTCCAAAATCTCATTGTCTTTGAGGCGGGAAGGGGGGAGAAAGGGAAGGCAGAAAACCTAAAATGATAAGGTTTGACTTGTCGCGGCAGGGAGGACTTGACCAGAAAGGCAAACACAGGGTTTTGCCTCACCTCCCCGCGGTTGAAGCCTTTTCCAGGTCCGACAAAACGACCAGTCCCTCCGTGCCCGCCCAAAGCGCCTCGCCTTGGCGGGGAGCCCTGCCGTAACCGAGGCCCCGGCAGGTGAAACCCGAACAAAATTGTGCCTTTTCCCCGCTCCTAGACAGGGGATCAGCTATGCCCGGTGTTGCCCCATGCGTTGGTACCAAAGCATCGCTCCGCCGGTCCTTCCCCTGAGGACCAGCTTCATCCTCTCTCTCACACACACACCCCCCCGAGGCCAGGGGACACCCGGAGCTGGCAGGGAGGAGCGGTCGGGGCCGGCAAGGTGAGATGCTGCAGGTGGCGGCGGGTCCCTCCCGGGTGAGCATCCCCCCGGTGAGCGAGCATCCCTCCGCTCCGGCCGGGCTCCATTCTGCAGGGAAAGGCGGGATGGGGTTTTAAACACGGCTAGAGGGGGATTTTTCGCCCCGTCCTGCCACGGAGGAGGGTTCAGGCTTGCTTTGAGGCTAGGTACCAGGAGGAGTTTGCTCACGGATTAAGCATTTGTGTAGGTGGCAGGAGCAAAA